AGCATTTCAGTTAACCGTTGCTCACATGAATACTTAAACCTTGATGAGTATGTGGTGTTATTTGGTAGGCGCATAATGAAATTAAGAAATTTATCAAGATTATGGAAACAAATAAACCCAAGGAATAATCAGTAAAAAGCAAAGTTGTAACAAAAAGATAACATCGATAAAGCTCTTTGTCACAACCATGCAGGATTATTGGCTGAAGTTTACTTCGAACTGCATCAAGTAAGGTACAGATAATTTCAGGACCAGGAATTGTACGAACGAGATGGTTTACACGAGTACTTTATCCATACTGTGATCCAAATTTTTATTCTGGATGAGCATCGCTTTATCATCCGCTTTGGCACCCAGCTGCTTACTTGTTTGCTTGATTCCGATCAGGCGCAATAGTGAATGAGAGCGCTTGAAAATGGACTTCAGAAGAACTATTAATAATACGGTTAAAAACGCCGATATCACGCCGATCAAAGCTGGCAAATAGATGTAGGTGTCCCGGTTCTTCTGAAGAATAATGGTCTTCAGTTTTAAGAATAATCCTAAAAGTGTACGGTCAATAAAGCTTTTGTAAGAGGATTTCAAGATACATCAAGATCATCACTGGAACGCTACAGTTGCACTTGGTGTTCTAAACTGAAATTGCTAAGAAAGTTCGGTCGTTCATTGCTACTTTCTGGATGAAACGTGTGACATTGGGTCTTTTTTTTTGGTCTCGATCATTGGTCTGATTCTCAATGACTGTTGGGTGGTAAAGGTTGGTTTGAATCTGCTTAATGCGGAATATGTGTCTTGGGAAAGAATCTAAAAACGATAAACATATCCCTGCTAAATTCTGCAGATTTTACTAGATTAAAAGTGAAGTATGTCATACCTTTTTCTACGACAGCTAAGAAAAAGAAAATATCCTTTGAACTAACCATAAATTTATTAAATCCTATTTTAGAAGCCTCAAAAATCATATCAGTAGCTGCCTTTGGATGTATCATATATTTCAACACATTCCATTCGAAATTCGTTAAATTTCCATCATAGGAACTGGACATATTCAGCGGATAAAATACGCCTTGTCCCAGCGCTTTGCTACCGCCTCGTTGTGCCCCAGTGGATACGAATACGAATGCGAATGCGAATGCGACTGCGACAATTCCGAATAAAATATTCATAGCTTCAAAAATTTTCAGTGACATTTGTCTAAAGTAAATTATAACGCGTTGCATTCAAATAATATCCAAAAAACAAAATATGAAAAAACTTTCAAAAACAACTATAGAGCGCCTTGCATTACTTTTAGGAAATAATTGTAATTTTTAGGAGAAACTAATCTCGAGAAGTTGACTTATGTCTCCTGGAAGTAGATTATGACCAGTCACCATTTGTTTCTGTAATATTACAAGCTATACAAATGCAAGAAAAATTCCCGCTCTTATTCACGAAACATCTTGCAATTCAGCATTACAGCCTGTTCAAGGACAACTTATTCTCTCCTGTCAACGGTTATAGGCAGGGAATTATATATATACATATATATATATGTACATATATATACATATATATATATATATATATATATATATATATATATATATATATATATATATATATATATATA